CCTCCCTCCCTCCCTCCCTTCCTTCCTTCCTTTCTTCTCCCCCTGTCCTTCCTTCCTTTTGTTTTTTTTTTTTAATACCAGGGATTGAACTCAGGACCTTGCGCTTATGACGCAGGCAGCAGCACTGCTGAGTTAAGTCCCTGGCCCCCTCCTGCTCTATTTCTTAAACATTTTTTCTTCTTTTGAATAATGTTGTTCATGTCAATTGCCAAAAAAGTCATTCTCATAATTCTCGTAATTCAATGAAAATGAAAAGGATACAATAAGTAACTGTTACCTTATGAAAGACAGGACATTGCTATCTCTTGGTTACCATAAAATTTTCATCTTATTCTGATAGTTTTCATGTGATATCCATGACTGTTGCCTACTGTTAAGAAGACTCCAAATTTTAGGAGGCAGATAGGCTGCAGGCAATCCAAAGAAGAATTCAGCAAAGATAGGTTTCTAACTAGTTCTTAAGGAGTTAATTTTAAGACATTGAAGAGTGAACAAAAGTGTTGAGGGTCATATGCTTACATTTTTTCCAGTAACTGTGAAGCAAGAAGGTACCAGTACTTTTCTTCCATTCATTATCATAGTCCCTTCAAATTACATATGGATTTTATGTTTACCCTTGAAGGCTGTTCTTGGTATTCATTTAAATCTTATTTTATGGGTATAAAAATTTTACAGGGAAGAATGATTTTCCACAAGTTTCTCTGAAGTTGTCTTTTCATAAGCATCAGCCAAATGACAACCAAGCTTACATTAATTTTTAAAAATTCAGTTTCCTTTCCCTGGTGTGAATAATCGGCAACAATGCATAAGATTCTAATAAGATTACTGACATTTAGAAATGGGAAGAAAGGAGCTAAAGGTGTAGGGAAGGTGGGATGGGTAGGGGAAGAGTAAAAAAGGAAAAGAAAAAAATGTGAGATAATGAAAAGATGGAAATAAAGTGATTGCAGATGGGGAGGGGAGGAGGGGGTGAAGGGAGGGCAGAGGTAAGGGGAAAAAATGAGAAACAAGACTTGCCATGTAGAGGTACATGATCCCAACAATGAATGTAACTGTACTGTATCCCTAAAATGTACCAATAAACTCAATTAAAGCTGAAAAAAAATTCAGTTTCTTATCCTTCCTACATAATTGTATTTATTGTGAAGAGTGTTGAAAGACCCAATACACAGCAAACTCAAGCATGTGGCATTTAATCTATCACACAGAAAAATCAAGGATTCAGTCAATACTTCTAGGGCTTCTACCCTCAACTATGTATTTCCATGGTGCCAATTTCCATAGTGTATAGACCTTCCAACAAACACATTTGTCTAAAAACAAATACATATATATGAAAACAGTTCTCTGTGGCTCTTGCCTTTCAGCTGGCTCTTGGTTGGCAGATGAGGATTCAGAAACAGCCTTTTGAAATTCCGAGTCTTCTTGTCATATACTAGAGGGAAATATTTGGTCTTAGGTGTTGGATCTTACTTCTATTAAAAGAGCTTCTATTAAAAGGCAAGAGAGAATCACAGAAAAAGATGTCTAAATGCTGTCATTTCATAAAGGATTCCTCCTAGACTTGCTTCCATTTCCTGTCCACTGGTTTCAAGTTCATGGTATATGTACAATTATTCTCGAATGAAAGCCATTGTTTACATCCTCACATGCACACACACACACACAAACACACACACACATACACACAAAAAAAATTTCTGAAGAATTCCATTGTGAAATAGTCACTTGTAATATTAAGAATGTTAATATATTTTTAATATTTCCTTCATTTCAAAAACTTCTTCCTTATGACAGTACCAACTCACATAATATGAGGGGAAATGAAGAAACACCACAAGTCTTCCTGTGTCTGAAATCTATCATTTAAAGTTCACAGAAAAAGAAGATATTCTTAAAATTTATTTGATTCTGTGTTACAGTAGGAAAGGTACTGTTTTATTTCTATTTTAAAGATGAGAAAATGAAAGCATTGAAAAATTAAGTAATTTGCTTAAAACCTCTTGTCAAAGTGAGTCAAGATTCTAAACAATGGAGTCAAAAGCCAGAGGCTTAGCCATTGCATTATAATTCTTTCCTATAGAGACTGACAGAGACAAATAATAAATTTGCTAATAATTGTAGAGGCTGACAGCATAAATTCAAATCCTAATTTTACTACTTATTGGCTATATGACCTTGGTCAAAGCTCTTAATCACTATGAATTTTTACTTTCTTGTGTATTTAAATAAGAGCTAAACTTTACTGAGTACTAAGCTAGGTTCAAGTATTGTACTAAGATTATTTCATGTAATTATCAAAGTAACTTAGTAATGGACCTTCTATATCTAGGCTTCTAAGTCAATGAATTCAATTTACCACAGATCAAAAATAATATATAGAGAATATTTCAGTTACTATTTTATAAAAATCCAGTATAATATCTATTTATATAATTTGAAATCTTTACATATTTATATAACAGTAGGTATTATAAATAATCTAAAGATGATTGACCATATACAAGTAGATGTGTATTTTTTACTAGCAAATACTATGTCATTTTATATATAAGAAACTTGAGATCAATGGAATGTGATACTTGTTGGAGTCCAACCCATAACCTTAAAATTCTGATAACTGACTATATGCAGTATTATTTGAGAAAGATAAGGTTAAGTAACTTTTCTATTGTTAAAAAGTAAGGATTAAGGGCAGAATTTCAATAAAAACAATCTCATCATATACCATATTCTTAACCACTAAATTTGCTAATAATAATTAATACTATTTTATACATCTTTGAGTCGTGCTTTGGTTAGGATTAAATTAGGTAATACATGTGTGATGGCTAATTTTATATGTCAACTTGACTGGCCACAGGGTGCTCAAACATTTGGTCAAACAGTATGCTGGGTGTGTCAGTGACTGTTCTGGAATGAGAGCAACACTGGAATCAATTAATGAAAATTATCCTCTACGTTTGTGGGCCCTCTGATCAATGAATGCATAAACAGTACAAAAAGGCTGATACTTTGGTGAAAAAGATGGAATTTCTCCTGCCTTACAGAGTTTAAATTGGACTACAAGATTTTTCTGAATTCAGACTCAAATTAAAGCATTAGCTCTTCCTGGATCTTAAAAGCCTTCAAGCTTTCAGACAGGGACCATCAGTTCTCTAGCCTTTGAACTAAGTTAAAATTAGAGATTTACCATTAGCTCTCCTGGCCTCCAGCCTCTATAATCATGAGTCAATTCCTTATACAAAATCCTTTCCAAATATGTGCACATACTATTGGTTGTTTCTTTGTTAAATTTTGACCGATACAGCACATAAAATACATCATGCTTACCAGGCAGCAATGTTTATTAAAGTATTTTCCAAAAAAATTCAACATAAAAGAAATTAAAGGATGGAAAATCACACTTAAACAAGAGGAAAGACAGGTCCACAGGAGGAAGATAATATTCTGAAAGCAGTGAGTTCATTAGAATGGATAATTATTGAGGACTAAAAAGACCTCTCTAGGAATAGGCTGTGTCTCTGAGGTTTGCAGCTAAAAACTTCCTCAGGATGGCAAATTAAAGTTTTCTAATACATATGAGTTACATTGGTATTCTTGAAATACCAATTCAATTACTCCAGTTCATCATTCACTGGAACAACTTCTGTCAAATCTCTTTCTGAATATTTTTGTTTAGTTAGGGTTACAGCTAGTATCATGATTTCAAGAAGCTCACATAGGAGGAAAATAAGTGAGTTTTACTTTGTGTCTCGGGGACTCTGTATTTCTCTCATCAACTAAAATCCAAGAAAGCTGACACAGCTGGCAAAGGGAAAAAAAGCAAATTTAACTTTTAAAGAAAATAGAAAATAAAAGTCCAAAGATGAAAAGGAAAGAAAATATAAGTTCTCTACTATACATAGGATTTTTATACTAGTTACACATGATCTATAGGATAGGACATTCAAAACTTGTGTTAATAAGCAAATTGTTATCTTCCATTGGCTTATACCAATAGAATTCTTTGAAATTTTTTCACAATAAAATGTGCAGAGGTTAGTTTGATTATTTTTACTCTTATAATGGAAATTCGGTATGAAAAAAAATTGTGTAGGTAGCGGAGGGAAGATGAGAGAGGAGAAAAGTTTCAAATAACCAATTTAATTAACAGTGACCTTTTTATTTAGGCAAAAAGTCCTATATGATAAAAATGCTTTGATTAGGTATCTGTATTATGATTTCATGAAACTTCCTTTGCTATGAACCTGAGTTACCTTGGAAGAACTGTTTATTCCAGAGATATCCATGCTCTAAAAATTCAAATGATCCTAAATTAGGAGGTTACTAAAGATATGTCAATGCCAAAAGAAAGAAAAGATTTATAGAACCCCAATTTGTGCTTATTGCAATGTGGCAGTAATGTATGTGTAAGAGAAAAAATAATATCTAAAAATTCCTTAGAATATATGCCTCATTTTTTCTTTAATTAAGCCTAATAGTCAAACCATGTTTAGTTATGTATCTCCTCAATATCTATTGTGGCTATTCATTCAGAATATTATAACAGTCCTTTCTTCAGCCTCACTTTCATTTGTAGTTTTCCTTGACTAACTAAATCAAGACCAAATTTTTTCAGTGTCATCACTATCATCTTATCAGTTCAAGTTTATTTTGTATATTTTATGACAATAATATTCAGCTGAATGGTTTATTTTTCTTATATAAGGAGTTAACATGTAGACTCCTCAATTTAGAACACACACACACACACACACACACACACAAACACATATACTTGCCAAAAATATAAACATTTTAGGAAAAGAAAAATAGTATGATGTTTTTTCAACATACAGTGTTATCCTCATACGGTGGGACCTAGAGGATGTATCACAGAGAAACTACTCAATAGCGAGCCTTTAGAGAAAAAATTGAAAATGCACATACAATAATATCAATGGACCAAAGTTACCCAAGCAGCAATGCACATACAATAATATCAATGGACCAAAGTTACCCAAGCAGCAGTTCACTATAATAATAAACACCTGAAAGCCAATGGACACCACTTTGAGTATCTCTTGTAATTGTGGGGGTCAAAGGTAACTTGTATTAATCTCCTGATATCTCAACAAATTTAGTATTAAAATATTTATAAAAGTTTTTCTTTTCCTGAAACGTGTATACATTTTCTGGCACACACACACACACACACACACACACACACACACACACACACAGAAAGAGAGGGGGGTTTATAACTCCCCT